TCTTCCTCCTATAGCTGTGAGGTCTTGGGCACAGTCCCTCAACTTCTCAGAACCCCAGTGTCCTGCATGAGGGCAGTGGAGACAATAGCTACCTCAGTTCCTGGGAGGACGAACTGAATTACGGTCCTGTCACCTGCAACTTGACACATAAACACAGCGTGACGTTATAGTGGTGTGTATTACATAACAATATGTACACACAAACACTGGGCCATATTAGAGAAAATAGATTGTATTTGAGAACTGAAAGGAAGGGAATGAAGGGCTTCCCTCAGTTACAGCTGAGTTTTTCTGAGGCCTCAAACCAAGGTGGGTTTTGTTTCTGCTCTCTGAGGCATGATCTGACTTAGCTCAGCTGGGAGATTCCTGTGTAGCTGAGGATGACCTTGAACTTCAGATCCTCCTGCCATTGCTGAGACAATGGTGGCCAGCACCACCGCACCCAGCTTATGCAGTGAGGGACCGAACCCAGAGCTACCTCAGTAATAGGCAGCGACCTACCAACTAAGCTGCGTCCCCAGGCCTCAAACCGTGTTTTTCAAGGCTTAGGAAGAAAAGTAATTATTTACCTAATCTGCTTTGTTTCTGAGTCCGGCCAAGGGTTAATGGAGAACTGGGACCCTATTGTGGTGTGAGGGTAAGTGGCCTGCCTGGTCTAAAGGGATGATATGGACTCTGAAGTCAAGTAGACCTAGTTGTGCTGGCTCAGCTGCAAAACTGAGGCCAGAGTAGCGACACTCCATGTTAGCAGGGTGACACATATTTGTAACTGTCCACTCCTTACAGTCAGAGGCTGTGCTGGTTTTGACCTGCTCATGATTGGTGATGTAGTCAGTGGATTCTAGACTTGTTGGGAAAGAGAGTTGAGTGCTGCAGCCATAGCTGTACATCATCTTTGACCCAGATCCCTTTTCCTCTATTTGGAGTGTGTTGGGAACGGAAGCCAAGGCCTTGACAAGCACTCTTCCACTGAGCTCAGGCCCCAGTGTTCTTCTTTGAACAACAGTAACCATTTTCTTCTAGGACAGGCTTAATGATTGAAGAATTCTAAGAACTTGGCCGGGTTACATTTGTTATAGCAAGTTCATTTCAGTCCTTAGAACTAAACTGCAGTATCCTTAGCCAACTCTACCTGAAGAGTCACATTGCCTTCTTTAGGTTACATCTTTTGGTTTTTTGTAGCTTTGGAGAGAACTTACTCTGTAAACCAGGCTGGCCTTGAACTCACAGAGATCCACTTGCCTCTCTCCTGAGTGCTAGGATAAAAGGCGTGTACCGCCACCGTCTGGCTGGTTTTTCTATCTTAAAGGATATATGTTATAGGTGTTTTGTCTGCATGCATGTCTGTGTGCCTGGTGCCCTTGGAGGTCAGGAGAGAACCGTCAGATTTACGGAAACTGTAGTTACCGGCAGTCAGTCAGGAGCCACCAAGTGAGTGCTGGAAACTGAACCCAGGTCCCCTGCCAGAGGAACACGTGTGGGAGAGCTGACTCAGCTGGTAAGAGCACTGGCTGCTCTTTCAGAGGAACCACACGACAGCTCACAACTGTCTGTAGCTCCAGTTCAAGGGGTTCTGGCATCCTCACACGGACATACATGCAGGAAAACACCAATGCACATAAAATAAAAATAAATTATTTTTAAAAAAAAAGAAAGAAAAAGAGGAACACATGCTCTTAACTGCTGAGCCACCTCTCCAGCTTCAAATCTTTTCTTTTTTCCCCCTTTTTCTTTTGAGACAGGGTCTTGTGTTGCCCAAGCTCCCTTAAACTCTCATACTCAACTGATCTCCTGCCTTGGCCTTCCCAGTATCAACTGTTACAGGTCAACCCCCCTCCCCCATTAGTGGAACGAACCACAGCCCCACATGGTAGACAAGTGATCATCTACTGAGCTGCATTCTCAGTCCTTCAGAAATTGTTTCCTGTTTTTTAATGTCGTCTTAATGTTATTTTATTATTTATCTTTTATATATGGGTATTTTGCCTGTGTTTATATCTGTGCACCATGTGCATGCAGTGCCTGTAGAGGCCACAAGAGGGAGTCAGATCCCCTGGGACTGGAGTTAAGGATGGTTATGAGCCACCATGTGAATGCTGGGAATTGAATGAACCAGGTTCCTTTGGAAGTGTAGCCAGTGCTCTTAACTGCTGAGCCATCTCTTCAGCCATCTTAAAAGTCTTGAACTTTTTTTTTTTTTTTTTTTTTTGGTTTTTCGAGACAGGGTTTCAATGCGTAGCTTTGTGCCTTTCCTGGAGCTCACTTGGTAGCCCAGGCTGGCCTCGAACTCACAGAGATCCGCCTGGCTCTGCCTCCCGAGTGCTGGGATTAAAGGCGTGCGCCACCACCGCCCGGCTTCAGCCTAGGTATTTCAAACGAGTCAGCTGTATTCTTCCTGGCATGCATCATTTTCTTTATGCTGCCTCCCCAAACCCATTACCCCAAGCCTGTTTTCCGAAGAATAGAGTTCTTTCTTCAAGACAGACCTATAGTCATAGAATGGACTCAGGAAATGCGCTCTGGAGTGATTTAGACTGATGTTAAAACAGATAAGCGCAGGCAGGGCTGTACAAGGTGTTCCATTTCAGATGTGCTCTCAGGGCTGGAGAGGTGGTTCTGGGGTTAAGAGCACTGGTTGCTGTTCCAGAGGTCCCGGGTTGGGGTCCCAGCACCACCATCTTTAACTCCACTTTCAGGGGATTCTGACATCATCCTCTTCTGGCCTCCATGGACTCTGCACACATGTAGTACACATACATACATGCAGGCAAAACCCTCACATACATAAAAACCAATTTTTACAACATTCCTTTGTTTTAAAACCGCCCTGTCTTTACACATCGTCGTCGTTCTTTACTGGGCATCAGACTGCTGCAAGGCAATGTCAGTGTCGGTCACCAGTCCTGGGGAGGTCTGAGCTTTTGGCAGAATGGCGTTTGAAGGGCTGTTGAAGAAGTGATGCTGCTTTTCTGAAATGCTGGTCTTCTGTTTTAGTGCGTAAATTCACAGAGAAACATGAATGGATAACCACAGAAAATGGTATTGGAACAGTGGGAATCAGCAATTTTGCACAGGTATTGATTGGATTGTCTTGAAGTGTTTGTACAGTCTGCTCTCAGTAGTCTGGATTGTCTCTACCTTACGAAACGTACAGTGCTTTGGGGCTCTTCTGGAGAAGTTGGAAGTCAAACAGGTCAAATGTCAACTAGTTAGAACAGCACAAGGCGTTAAAAGAGACAAACCTGTTACCTCATCCTCAGGCCAAGGCAGGAGGTTATGAATTTGAGACTAGCCTGGGCTAAACAGCAAACAGAAAGGTTTTTTTTTTTTTTTTTTTTTTAAGTACTGAGTCAACACTTAAAAGCAGGGAATGTTATTTGAGGACAGTTGAGAAGAGCAAGCTCAAAAGCTAGGGGGTGCCACTGTAGACACGTGAGAACCCGCATGACCAAAGACAGACAGGAAACACAGATAAACACTGCTGACACCAAGAGAGACTTTTATTTAGTTGGCCTTTTCTCTGTTAATAATATTAATAACCCCATGTCACTACCCTCATACTGAGATACTTCTCAGTGGAAGCCAAGCAGATGCATGGCCAGTGGTTTCTACTGGATGCATGTGTGCATGAGGCAGGACAGAACTGTTGGGAAGACCTCCGGGTTTCTGGTACCTTCACTGGCATCCCTGTCTATCTATTGAGGGGGCCCAGCACACGTAGTTCATCTACACAGGGAGTCACCTGTACGACAGCCACTTACAAAACGTATGGGAGACAGTCCATCTGGGGGGCGTGAGGAAGGTGGGTCAGTCACCTGATGCGGTGGTGCCCCGGGAGGCAGGTCTGTGAGGACCACTGTCGGATGAGTGAGTAGGCAGTGCAGTTTGGGTCATGGCCTCAAACTGCAGAGGTGGAAAGCACAGGGTGCTCAGAACACCTTGTAGTCTTGTTTGGAGCATGTGGTTTGTGCCTGGGGTTACTCCAGTCTAGAGGTCAGATCTGGCGGGTGGCTTGTTTCTTGCAGATTATTTTTAGAGCTGCTGAGATGACTCAGTGAGTAAGGGTGCTTGCCACCAAGCCTAAAAACCTGAGTTCGATCCTCGGGATGCACGCAGTAGGGGGGAAGAACCGACTCCTGCAAGTTATCCGCAGACTTCCGCGTGTTTTTGCTTTTAAAGTATTATTTACGCAGTACTGTGGTTGCTCCCTGGGTCATACACATGCGAGGCAGGTTCTCCACCACTGAGCTACATCTCTAGCCTTTTCTTACTTTCATTTTGAGATAGGCTCTGGCTAAGGTGCCTTAGCTGGCCTTGAACCAATTCTATAGACAAGGTGGATCTTGAACTTGGGTCCCCCTTCCTCAGCCTCTGACCAGAGGTGTACCAAATCTTACCTGATTTTATTCTTTTTGTGCGATGGACTTAACCCTCCTACATCTGTCCCCCAAGTGCTAGATTTTGGGTATATGCTACCACGCCTGGCCCATTTTACAAGTTTAAAGGGTTGTACAGAAAAGCAAAGAATGTAGCCCCTCATGTGTGAAATACATAGACAAAAATTTAGGCAATGAGGTGTTTGTCTCTTTCCTGTTTTCTGGTGGGGTCAACTTCTTAGACATTTTTATGTTGTTTTTGTATTTCAGGAAGCTTTGGGAGATGTTGTTTACTGTAGTCTGCCTGAAGTTGGGACAAAACTGAAAAAACAAGGTGAGTGTATTTCTCATTTTGGAATGTCTCAGACCAGCCTGGCCTCAAACTCACAGAGTCCCACCTGCCTGCCTGCCTAAGCCACCACACCCAGCTCAGGCTTTATTTTATTTTTATTTTTAAGTAGACAGGGTTTCACCCTATAATCCATGCTGGCCTCAAACTCCTGCATGGTTAGATTACATGCATGTGCCTCTGTACACCATAGCTGGTTATGTTTAGGCCATTAAGTTTGCTTTGGAGACTTCATTTTCTTCTTTCATATGTTTTGCTCATGTATCACAGCATAATTTGCTGAAAGACATATTTTGTTTGTTTATTCGAGATAAGGTCTTGCTTGGAATTCACTATGTGGTCTAGGATGGCCTCAAGTTTGCTTTGAACTTCCTGTCAAGTGCTGGAATTACAGGTGTTGCCACCACACCTGACTCAAGAGGCCATGTTTTAGTCGTTATGTATTTTCTTTCTCTTGCCTTTTGCACTGGCTGGGACTGTCTGGAGAACGTTGTACTAGAAGCGGGGAGAGTAGGTGTCATTGTCTTGTTCCTGTCTTAGGGGGAAGCAGCTGCTGTCTCATCAATAGGTGTGATGCCGGCTGTGGGGCAGTTCATAGATGCTCAGTATCATTGAGGTTCCTTCCTGTTTGCAAAGAGTTTTATCGTTACTGAATGTTGAATTTTGTCAAACTGATTTTCATGTGAATTAATTTTATTGAAATGATTTATATGTTTCATTTTGTTAATACAAGACTTAGAAATTGCATTTAGTGTGTGTGGGGTGTGTTCACATGTACATGCCATGACATGTATGTGGAAGTCAGAGAACACAACAACTTTGGGAATTGGTTTTCTCCTTCCATTATGTGGGACCTGAGGATCAAACTCAGGTTATCAGGCTTGGCAGCAAGCATCTCCACCCACTTGTCTTACCAGCATCGGATTTTTGTTTGTTTGTAGGTATTATTTTAATCTTGGATGTAAAACAATCCTGTGTAATCTGTCCCAGAGCTCCCATCCACCGCTGTTTAAGCAGTAAGGTGCATGTCTACTGCTGCCACAGGAGCCCTGAACTTCGTCCTAAAACACAGATCTATTTTTTATGTCTAGCCAAACCTTACTTTACTAGAATAAGTCCCACCAAGCCTTGATATATACACTTTTAAAAGTACTCTATTAGAAAGCTGGGTGTGCAGACTCTTTTTCCTTGCCTGGTTCCTTGTGTGTAGCCCAGGCTCCTTCAATTTAGGGTCTCTCTTTGATTTTTTTAGAGACAGGGTTTCTCTGTGTAGCTCTGGCTGTCCTGGAACTTGCTCTTTAGACTAGCCTGACCTCAAATTCACACAGAGATCTCCCTGTCTCTGCCTCCCAAATACAGGGATTAAAGGCATGCACCATTACAACCCAGCAAGAATCTCTCTTTTAAAATTTTTTTTGTATGTGTTATGCATATGCCATGGTGAATATGTAGAAGTGAGGGTGATTTGGGGGTACTCAGTTCTCTCTGTCCACCCTGTGGGTCTAGTGATTGAATTTAGTCAACAGGTACCTTTTTTACAGAACAAAAGTAAAATTTGGTCTCAGGGCAGGAGAGATGGTTCATTGGTTAAGAACTTGGACTGTTCTTCTAAAGGACCCAGGTTTGATTCTCAGCTCCCATAGGGTGACTCACAACAATCTGTACCTCCAGTTTCAGGGCATCTGATGCCCCCCTCTGGCCTCTGAGGGCATCAGCACACATGCACACAGAATACATACATAAATATAGGCAAAATAATAATAATCAAGTGATACAAATTTAATAAAATGAATTACTCACTGTGTAGTCCAGCCTTACCTTGAACTCACAGAGATCCACCTGCCTCTGCCTCCCTCGTTCTGGGATTAGAGGTGTGTGCCACTATGCTTGGCTCTTTTCTAGGTTCTTAAGGTGTAAGCTTGGTGTGGTGGTATGAATGAAAATGGCCCCCATAAGTTCGTATGTGTGAATGCGTGGTCCCCTGTTAGTGAACTGTTTGTCTAGGATTGGGAGGTGTGGCTTTTTTGGAGGATGTGTGTCATTGGGGGTGAGCTGTGAGGTTCCAAAAGCCCATACCAGGCCCAGTCTTCTCTCTTGACCTGCAACTTGTGGATCACATGTGAGCTCTCAGTTACTGGTCCAGCACCATGCCAGCCTGCATGCCACCACCCTCCCCGCCATGATTATAATGGTCCAACTCTCTGTAAGCAGGCCTGACTCAGTTAAATGCTTCTGTGTATAAGTTGCCTTGGTCATGGTGTCTCATAGGAATAAAACAGGAACTAGGACACTTGGCTTCCATTTTACTAGCTAATCTTTACTCTAAAATGCAGTCTCCCTTGGGGTGAGCTGTAGTTAAAATCTTGGCACAGTTATTTCAGCCTTCCCAAGTCCCTTGGGTGATGTCCTATGTACACAGGTTTAAGGCTCCATCAGAGACCAGGATATGTGACACCATGTATGGCTAGTGAACTGAAAGAATTATGTTTTCCTGAACATCCGCACACTGGTGTTCAGACACACTGTCGTCTGCCATTCACTGTGTGCAGACTGTGTATGTTCACTTTGTCGCAGCCGCTTATCCCTTTCTCATACAAATCTAACAGAACCTATAGTTTAAATAAAGAAATTCAGCGCTGGGCCGTGGTGACACACACCTTTGATCCCAGCACTCGGTGGGCAGAGAGGCAGGTGGATCTCTGAGTTCCAGGACAGCCAGGGTTACAAAGAAACCGTGTTTCAAAAAACTAAAAACAAAAAAAAAAAGAAAGAAATTCAGAATTTTTTAGCATGACTGTATGGGAGGTGGCCGCCACTTTTTTAGTTTGTCTTTAAATTGTTTTATAACATTATTTTTGGGGGAGGGTAACAGGGGGACAACTTGCAAGAGATAGTTCTCTTCTTGTACCTTGGTGCTGAGGATTGAACTCAGGTCTTCAGGCTTAGCAGCAAGCACCTTTACCTACTGAGCCATCGCAAGGGGTCTTTTTCTCCAACTAGCTAGCCTCTAACTTCCTGTATAGCTGAGGGTGATCTTGAACTCCTGATTCTCTTGCCTCTGTCTCCCCAGTACTGTGATTGCAGGTCTCACCACCAACCCAGGTGTATGCAGTACTGGGGGTTGAACCCATGGCCTTATGCATGCTAGGCGAGTGCTGTATCCATTGAGCTACATCCCTCACCATAGTGTCTACCTTTTTTTGTTGTTGTTCATTTAGACAGCATCTCACTGTGTATGCCTGGCTGGTCTGGAACTCACTCTGGTCTCAAATTCACAGAGATCCTCCTGTCTCTGTCTCAAGTGCTGGATTAAACGAGGGCCACCACTTCTGGCCACATTTTGGATTTTTAGTCACAGACCTGATGTTAACTATTTCCTTGCACTGTTTCCTTTTAGATGAGTTTGGTGCTCTGGAGAGTGTGAAGGCTGCCAGTGAACTCTACTCTCCTCTGTCAGGAGAGGTAACAGAAGTCAATGAAGCGCTTACAGAAAACCCAGGGCTCGTCAACAAATCCTGTTATGAAGACGGTATGTTGCTGCTCAGAATCTCAGCCCTACAGTAACCCAGTGAAGAAGGACAGCTGCCGTTTTCTCCATGTTATAGATGAATGGAGGACCCCAAGTGTACCTGGAGGGTCATAGAGTCACCAAGTGGCAACATTAGCATTTGGTTGTGGTTCTCTTTGACCTGCTGCTTGCCCTCCATACTTTCTAGGGCTTTCTGTCTCTCTGTCTCTCTCTGTTTTTGTTGTTGTTGTGTGGGGGGGTGCGGATTTGGGTGGTTTGAGACGGGGTCTCTCTATATGGCCCTTGCTAGTGCCAAACTCACAGAGATTTGCCTACCTCTGCCTCTCAAGTGCTGGGATTCAAGATGTGTCACCATGTCTGGCTCTGGGTCTTTCTACTGCCCTAATGTGGTGATGTTTTATTTGTGCTGAAATGTGGTGATATTTTATTTGTATGTTAATAAAGTTTGCCTGGAGATCAGAGGACATAGCCAGCCATAAACAAAAGTTAGGGAGTGGTAGCACATACCCTTAATCTGATCACATGGCAAGCAGAGTCTCTGTGTGTTCAAGGGCACACTGGGGAAAAACCAAGTGTGGTGATCTTTAATCCCAGTACCAACCATAGAGACCCGGAGGTCTGTACAGACAGGCGGTAACAAAGAAGTGAGGTAGCTGGGCTAAGAGCCAATGAGAGGGCAGAACAGCAAGGCAATAAAGGGGCAGGTTAGACAGGAAGAAGCGCTACAGTGAGCTAAGGTTAGCTGGTGGCTCTCACTGTTTCTCTGATCTCTATGGCTTGCACCACTGTATTTGACTGTGTTTCTTATTTAATAAGACTGTTTAGAAATTCGTCTACACCCTAATAGTTATAGTGTTTGGTATGCCTTTTTTAAAAATATAAATTAAATTTGTATGTGTGTGTGTACAGGTACTCTTAACTACTGAGCCATCATCTCTCCAGCCCCAAGATTTTATTAAAAAGTATTGTAATTAAAAAAATATACATATATATCATATTTATATATATCCTGTGTAAGGATATTTACATGTGCCTGCAGGTGCCTTCAGAGGCCAGAGGAGGGCATTGAATCCCCTGGAGCTGGAGCTTCACTTTCGAAAAAGGCAATTTGCAATGACATTTTGTTTTGGTTACAGGTTGGCTGATCAAGATGGCACTGAGTGACCCTTCAGAGCTGGATGAATTAATGAGTGAAGAAGCGTATGAGAAATATGTGAAGTCCATTGAGGAGTGAACACTGCACCCCACTCCCAAATAAAACTGGGAAGCAACCTGCTCCAGCATGCTTGTCTTAAATTAGTGGAGAATAGAAGATTTGAAATAACTTTTAGCAATACTGATGGAAAGAAACTATTCTCGACAGTGCTACTTAAAAAACCCAACTTCCTGATGGGTACAGATAAACACAATGTACATGTTTTTAATAATGCCCATACTAGGTATTTAGACTAGGGGTTAAGCTCTGGTGTTTAGCATTCTTGAGATCATCTATGGTAAAAAGTGGTTATAAAGCTGGGTTTGGTGACGAACTACCCTTTAATCCCAGCACTCAACAGGCAGATCTCTTGTTAGTTCGAGGTCTGCCTGGTCTACTTACAAGTTCCAGGCCAGCCAGAGTTACATGGTGAGACCCGACCTAGTGATTATAAGAATTCCATAATTCAGGATAACAGTGTTGTAAATCTCCCATAATATTGTAACTTGCCCATATCCACCACTGGATTTTGGTCAAGACTTAATGTGTCTTCTCACTGGCGATGCCTGGGATCATAGGAACGTACTGTACAGTGTCAGATGAAGGACAGTACTGTCTTGTTTTTACCTTGTGCTGCGTTGACTGCCATTGTTTTCCCACTGTGAGGCATTGGCTTTGCAACACAGCGAGAAACAAATAAAACATTCATCCTCTTGGTTCATCTTGGTTTTTATTAGGATATTAATGTTTCATTTAGTGACTACTAGTTTTAGAGGGCTAATTTTAATTTCTAGGAAGTTATGTGTATGTGTGCGTGTGCGTGTCTGGTGCTAGGGATACCACTGAGCTGTTCCCTGCCTAGCTATGGGAAATTATTTAAAAAATAAAAACAAGCCAGGGGATGGACAGAGGGTTCACAGGTTAAGAGCAGTTGCTGTTCTTGCAGAGAACCTGGGTTCGGTTCTCAGCATGCACATGGTAGCTCACAACTATCCCTAACTCCAGTCCCAGGGGATCTGCCACCTTCTGACCTCTAAAGGTACCAGGCACACATATGATATACATGCATACATTTAGGCACAGAGTACATAAAACAATCTAAAATTAAAAAGAAATGTATGCCTTAACAATGAAAAAATGTAAGGAAGATGTACTGGCCAGAAATTCCTTAGCACTCTCATCTTAATTATTATATTTAATTATTTTAATGATTAGAAAGGAATCACTAATGCTTACCTGGCAGGGGAGACTCTGATCAAGAAGGGTTTTCCCAGGTCAAGGTTCACACATTGCTCTTAGTGTGTATTAACCCTTGTGTTTCCTCCAAAGGCAAATTAGTTTCTATAACCCGCAGTAGTGGGAGACTGCATCCACTCTTTTCCCTGCAATAATAAAACCCAGAGAGTGAAATTACCATCTTCACTTCTCATCATGCTAGCTTAGAAGAGGGAGAGTGGGTGACAATTGATCGGCATCGCACATGGTGTGACGGAATTTAAATCATATTCCGGTTTCCACTTACTAATGATAGCAGACACTGGAACTTTCTGATACTGACTTAATAAGTGTTCTTTACAGCTCAAGTGTGCTTACTGCCAAATGGTATTTTCAGACAGCTAATATGGCCTGTTCTCTAATTTAGTAAACTATAAAAATGCTGACGGGGTAGGGGTTATGCACACAAATATGTACAGCCGAGCTTGGAGGCTCTCACCTATAATCCCAGCACTTGGGGGGTGGAGGCAGGAGGATCAGGGGTTCAAGTCATCTTTTGGCTACAGATCCTTTAGTCAGTCTGGGTTCAGACAAGCTCAAACTTCACATGCAAACTTTACCACCACCAAACAAAAGAAAAATAACTATGTGTGTGACTACATACACAGGAAGAATAGACAGACTGTTCTAGCATTCCCTCCGACTACAGTAGAGGAAGGGATTCAGACGTACCTGGTGATGAACGAGCAGCAAAGGAGCAGTTTCCTCAGGAGAGGAAAGCACTTTCCCACACCGCTGGTGGAAAACTGCTGCCACCAAGTTTATCTTGGTGTCCCCGCCAAAAAAATACCAGAGGTGTCATGGATGACTGCCTTTTGTGTACTCAGCAATTAGGCTAATTACTCTTCCTGCCTGCGGACTAGGTAATGATTACATAAGTGTTCTTTGATCTTTATAACCATCATCTTATCACTATACCCCAATTCACAGAAAAGGAAGATGATGTGGATAAGGTATTGAACACAGATTGGTCACGGGAAGGATTCTCACCTTTCCTGGTCTAACTTTTCATTTGTCCCTTAGCAAATGTAACTGTAACTTGAACTGTTCCAATCTGAACACATACATTTTTAAAAGCTCCCAAATCCTATGCTTGAAAATAGCACAAGTGGAAAGTTCTTACCTGACCTCATGTGATATGGAAGTCAAAATTCATGTGTAGTAAAAATAGTTTAAAATCAGGCTGGAGGATGGCTCTTGTTTTGAAGGCAAAAGGATCTGCCTTCAAATTTCTGAGATCTCTAGGGGCTTGATGGCCTCTAAGCTAGCTCCAGGTTCTGAGAAACCCTATCTCAATGGAAGAGGTCAAAAGACACCTCTACCTTCCAGGCACATGCAAACCTCCTCTCTCTCTCCTCTCTCTCTCTCTCTCTCTCTCTCTCTCTCTCTCTCTCTCTCTCTCTCACACACACACACACACACACACACACACACACACACACTGAACAGAACATATGCTCACTTGCTTTTTCAACTATCCGGAATATAAACTCAATTCTATCATTTCTGTGGTACTTTTCTTTCTTTCTTTTTTTTGGCTCATACACAGCAGGCAAACACTCTAACCACTAAGCCACATCCCCTCTTAACCATAGTTTGTCAATGGAATTTTCTTTTTCTAGACTGCTTTGGTTGATTTAGGATCTCATACTATAGCCCAGGCTGGTCTTGAACTCATGGCAATCCTCTTGCCTCAGCCTCTGTAGTGCTGGGATTACAGGTTTGAGCCATGCTTGACTTCAATGTTTTGTGGTGCTTTTTTGTTGTTGTTGTTCTGGGTTTTTGTTGTTTGGTTTGGTTTGTCACGACAGGGTTTCTCTGTGTAGTCCTGGCTGCCCTGGAACTCACTCTACACCAAGCTGTTCTCACAGAGATCCGCCCGCCTCTGCCTCCTGAGTGCCAGCACTGCCTGGCTTGTTTTATATTTTTGAGACAGGCTCTCATGTAGCCCAAGCTGGTATGGAGGGTGTAGCCAAGGACTACCTTTGAAAGTGTTACAGCTCGGATGGAAAGGTATCCTGGCAGTTGGGACCCAAGGAATACCTCACACAAGAGATTTATTAGGAGTAAAAAACCCAGGAAGGTGGCTGCTTTCTGCTTGGCGGGGAGCGGGGAGGGGGAGAAACAGCAGAGAATTGGGCAGAACATAGAGTTTATATAGGGTTTCCTGCTGGGGGTGGGGCCAGGGGGACAACTACACACACACACACACACACACACACACACACACACACACACACACACACACACTTTCCAGGATGGCCTGGGAATGGAGGGATTATGTGGCCTGATCTTGGGGCAGGCTCAGGGATGGATGGGATTTTTTTCCTGTAGGACAGGGCCTGGCCACTCTCCTGCCTTGAGGGGCTAGGAACCTTGATTAGGGAAGGGGAGGCAGGGCCTGGCTGCTTCTGTGCCTTAAGGGGTCTTAGCCACCAGAGTAGTCTAGGAACCTGGTGGCTGGAGGTCTCCAGGGGCAGTGCTTATGTTTGGCAGGGAACCCACTCCTGCCACCCTAGTTGGCTTGAACAATCTTGAGTTCCAGGTTTTCCTGCTTTCCTCTCCCAAGAGCTGGATTACAGGCATGTGCCACCACACTGGAATTAAAACCTCAGAAATATAACGTGTGTGTGTGTGTGTGTGTGTGTGTGTGTGTGTGTGTGTAGATTGTTCAGTGGTTAAAAGATCTAGCTGCTCTTCCAAAAGACTTGGGTTCGATTCCTGGCACCTACATGGAGGCTCGAGAACACCTGTAACTCCAGTTCCAGAGGATCCAATCCCTCTTCTGGCCTCCATGGGCACCAGGCATGGAAGTGGTGCATCAATACACGTGATACACATGCAGTCAAAAATTTTGAGCGCTTAAAAAATAAAAAATACTAAAGTTTCAAAAAACAAGATTGCTCAGAAAGCATTAAAACTTAAACAACAACAACAACAAACCCAAAGCAACAACAAAACCCCACAAAAAACCCCTAAAGTTGACCGTATTGGATTTTAGTGAACCACTAGAAGAGTTCTGGGCACAGGCTCCAGTATAAAAGACCAGTGCTTCAGACCAACAGACTCAGGTCCTCAGCAGATTGGAAGTTTTTATTTTTTTCCAAATTGCTGGGCTTTTCTGTGGATTTTTGTTTTGTTTTGTTTTGTGAGACAGGGTTTCTCTGTGTAGTTTTGGTGCCTTTCCTGGATCTCGCTCTGTAGACTAGGCTGGCTTTGAACTCACAGAGATCCTCCTGGTTCTGCCTCCTGAGTGCTGGGATCAAAGGCGTGTGCCACCACCGCTGCCCGGCTCTGTGAATGTTTAAAAGCCTTTTGTCCACCTTCGGTTATTAAAATTATGGTTGAGTGGCCAGGTCTGGTGACACATGCTTGTAATTCCAGTACCCAGGGACAGAGGGAAGATATGGACTTGGAGGCCAGACTAGGCAACATAGTGAGACCCTACCTCAAAACACAGAATGGACACAAAAATTGGTGATAGACTAGCATGTGAAGTCCTGGATTTGCTCATCAGCGTTGGAAAACAATGAACTAGCTAACTTTAAGTATACGTACACACAGGCAAAACTCACCCACATGAATAAATCTAAAATTACATATAAATAAAATTTTGAAATGTATCATACCATTACTTCTATGTTATGAAACATATTGGGATAGCAACTATGCGTGTGTGTGTGTGTGTGTGTGTGTGTGTGTAGTACATATATAAGGGGAAAAACATTAACAAGTAGTCATATTCTAGAAGAGGACTTTGTTCCAACCTTATTGAATAATGTACTACATACATCTTTACGGTCCTTTAACACTATAAACCTGTAAAAAGTAGTCATTCTTAGCTATTCTTCCAAATGCCTTTGAGTCATAGTGGTATTGGAGACTGTCTTTCTGGCTGTAGGAATACTTTTTAAACCAGAAAGCAGAGGGGCCCTGGTACTAGACCTGACTTGGGGTGCTAGACTTACCACCCAATGCCTCACTTCAGGCACAGGTTTCCAGCCTGGGGTATGTCTTTCAGTGCTCAAAAGCAACAAGAGCAGCATGGCGGAGGGGGTGGGGGTGGGGTACCAACTTGCCAAAAGATCAGTGAGTGCTAGCTGCTACTGTCCCAGTAAAGCGGGCGGCACTGAAAAGAACAAAACAAGAAATCCTTCTCATCAGCAGATACAGAAGCCACGTCCGTAATCCTCTTAATGTTGATTTAGGAGACTGAGGAAGGAGGGTTGCCAAGAGTTCGAGGCTACACCAGGCTATACAGCACGCAAACCGAAAACGAGTCTTTTCATGACGTTCTGGGTATGCATTCCACTAGCCCGCGGGATCTCAAGGAGGAAGGGACAAGTGCCAAATCTGCAGCTATTGTTTGCCTGGCACCTGTGTGTCCCTTCTTGAAGGCGGCAGAAGGTTGTTCCCAACGCAAGTGGGCCTCCCAACGTCGACAGTTCGAAACCCTCGAAGCACGCGGGCCGCAGCTTCCCAGAAGCGATGTCACTACGCGCAGGCGCCGCTGGACAGACGCCCGAAACTACATCCCAGGCCGCTGGAGGCAGCTGGCAACCGCGCGCACGGCACCAAGGGAACGTTCATTGACCCCGCCCCCAGAGAGACCTACCTCCCTTGAGAGGCTTTGTTGAGGCGTGACGTCACTTCCGCCAAGCTGCCAGGACACACACCCCCGCCCCGCCCCCGACGCGGCCGTAACCTAGGGCAACGGCCCGGCTCATGCCCGCCGGCCGGGGACGAGCCGCTCCGGGCCTTCCTTCCCTCGCGGCCCCGTCGGAGCGTCTGAGTGGACGTGGTTACGTCCTCTCCCAAGAAAAAGTGTCCAGGACACTTCGCGGGTGGCAGAACCGAGGAAGGAAGCAACCCTCAAGGCGGGTAAGCGAGACGAAGAGGAGGTACGGCTCAGGGCGGGCCTGCACTGGGCGGGGCGTGGAAGCCGCGCGGGCCTCGGGGGGAGGAGCCGTTTGATGGGCGTGGTCCTTGAGGGCGTGGCCGAGGCCTCAAGGGAGGAGCTTGGTGCAGCCCTCAGTGACCTCCTGAAAGAAGGGCAAACCGGCAGCTTGTGGCACGGTAGGAGCCGCCGGGAGGAAGGGGAGGAGCCTGGTGAAGTGGAAAGAGTGTGATGGGACCACGAGATGAAGGGAGGGACCAGATGAGAAGGTCTGGGCGCCAGGATTCGGGCTTGTATTTTCTGTCTGCCTTGAGCCTTGGGAGCCCTCGGAAGGCCATCCTTTCAGGACTAGGCACCTAGTGAATTCAGAAACAAAAGTCGAAAAAGGGCAAAGTGAGACCCTGCCAAAAAACAAAAATCGAGACCCTAGGCAAAAAAGAAAAAGGGCAAGAGTTGTAAGTGGTTGGAATAGAAATGGCCTCATCTCAAGGTTGTACGTGTCTTACTTGAATTCGGAAGAACTCAAGGATTGCTTCATCATGGCAGCTGTACCCCATAGGCATATAAGTATGCCGCAGCTAATTAACATAGGAAGATACATTTATTTTATTTAGTTTTGTCCATTTGAGACAGTATTGCTATGTAGCCCAGGCTAGCTTGGAACTTGGTATACTCCTGTCTCAGAGACCTTCTGAGTGGTTGAGGCATATACTACCACACCTCTACTCCGACTGAATCCTGATAGCTGATACATCATTCCCTTAAAGCCATAGCTTTTAGTAAGATGAGATGCAGAGCAATGAGAAGCTGTGGCAAGGTGGTAAGGAAGTTCGAGGTAGCCTGCCCTGATATCAGCAGCAAGCTTTTGCCTTCAATACCCTGGGCTTTTGTCTCTTGCCAGTCAGCCTGCTTTCCATGCTCGCTGATAGATTAGGAATGTGTCACTTAGAGGTAGGAATCTCAGGTTGATCGGTCATATTCTGGAGGTGCTGACAAATGCAAACGTGTACATTACCACTTTATTTTGTGGTAGACATAATTAATCAACCACACAACTTTTTCTTGCTGTGGGCAGGTGTCAAGCTCCTTATCACATTCAGGTAGCCTCTGCTTGTGTGGAGTTGATAATTGGAATAGGAATTAACATTTTTTTTTAAAGATAGAGTCTTATGTAGTCCAGGCTAACCTTGAATTTGTTAGTCAAGAATGACCTTCAACTTGTAATCCTCTTGCCCACATCTTCCTCATGCTTGGTTGCTGGGGGTGGAACCCAGTGCTTTGTATGTGCTGTTTAATCACTCCATTTACAAAACTGTATCTATATCCTTCTGTTTTTTTCAATTCTTTACACTTTTTTTTAATATGTCTGGTGTTTTGTCCCATGTATGTCTGGACACCATGTTGGTGCCTGGTGCCTTCAGGGGCTAAAACTGGAGTTAAAAATGGATGTGAGCTGCCATGTGGGTGCTGGGATTCAAACCCAGGTTCTCTGGAAAAGCACTTTTTTATTTTTCTATGTATCCCTGACTATCGTGGACTTCACTATATAGACCAGGCTGGCCTCAAATTTGCAGAAATCCACCTGCCTCTGTCTCCCTTACGCTGGGATTAAAGGTGTGTGCCACCATACCTGTCAAATTAAAGGCATTTTCAGGCAAAAGGACAAACTATAGGACATCAGAGTCCCTTTCTGAATTATCTAAGCTGATCAACTGATAGTTCAAAATCAAAATGTTTCAGAGATCTGCTGTGTTTGGAGGTCTGTTGTAGGGAAACAGCATCTCCTCAAGATAGAACAGAAACTCCCAGCCTCCTCCGTACAGTGAGCGTTTGGCATCTGACCTGGGTTCTGTCATTGAATAGCTTTGCATTGTACACAATGAGAGTGACTAGCAAGGGTCTGCTGCAGAGGGGTGGAAGGAGATTCTTTGTGCTGTAAGAGCTGGAGGTGGCAGTGTTACAATCCAGTCCCAAGTGTCTTACCTCTGAGAGTAAGGTCATGTACTAAGTGATACTAAGTAATGTGGCTGGGCATGGTTCCCAGCTTCCCAGTTTCAAAGTCTGGCTTTGGAATTCACTTCTTCCCTGAAGATCTCTGCAGGCTACATAGTGACTTTTAATAATTTTCATTGCTGTAAGGTCTCTCCCTGGGTCATGAGGCTCACCAATTGGATCAGCAAACCCCAGGGATCCACCTATCTTTTGCCTGACTGGCATCAGAAATACAAATGCATGACATCATACTTAGCATTTTGGCTCCTAGCTGGCAATTAAATTCAGGTCTCATGCTTATGAGGCAAGCACTTTATTGACTTGAGCTATGTATCCAGCCCTGATTAGGGTTGTTTACCTATTAAAACACTGTAGATGTATGTATATTGGCCTACCCCTCTAATCCTAGCACTTCAGAGACACAAGCCAGAGGATCATGAATTTGAGGCTAACAAATTCATGTACCAGGGCATCCTGAGGTCTATAGCAAAACTTTCTTTAAAAAAAAAAAAAGGCAGAGCCAGGTGGATCTCTGTGAGTTCGAGGCCAGTCTGGTCTACAGAGTGAGATCCAGGAAAGGCGCAAAGCTACACAGAGAAACTCTGTTTCGACAAAAACCACAAAAAAAAAAAAAAAAAAAAAAAAAATCAAGATGGCTCAATGGTCAAGAGCACTGGCTGCTTTTTTTTTTTTTTTTTTTTTAATGCCGAGTGCAGTTTATTGAAGGAGGGAGGAGGTCTTAAATACAGGCTTACAGCACAATGGGAGAACCGGAGGGCAGAAGTTCGCTACCGATGTTTTATAATCTTGCATCTAAGCTGTTAATGCCCATTATGAAGGATACGCAGACAAGGAACTTCCCTTAAGCATTCAGGCGGGTGAAACCTGGGAGGGAATTAGCATAGAGAGGATATCAAGGTCAGGGTCAGCAAGCAAGGCAACAGTTACCCAAAACGGGGGCCAGGGACCTACAGGTCCCCCTTTTACTAATAAATGAGCTTCTGACTTAGGTTGTGTGGGACGTCAGCAGGTCACCCTACCCGTCATGGAGATGCCTGCCCAGGCCATACATGCGCTCTGTCTTAGGTTGGTGAGCGCCCCGCCCCCCCAGGCATTACCTGTCTTTGAATACTCATTATCATACAGGCTCAATCATGTGTGAGCTGCAGAGTTAACTGCTGCCAAAGATCTCAAAGTGGCGCTGGGCTTGCAGTCTGTGTGTTTGACACAGAAAAGACCAACAGAGGTCCTATCCCACCCATAGCCAGTAGGCTAAAGACAACTGAGCCATTCCCTTCCTTAACGAGCCTTACTGCAAATTGGAGTCCTTATAAGATGGTATCCCAAAAGCAAATGGAACTTGAGTTTATAAATTTAAAATTTTCAAAGCCAATCGAAATGTATGTAACTATTGAATTAAATTTATCATGCCCGATAGAATGAAAGATTAATTAACTGTGGTAGCTACTTTTGCTGCCAGGGTCTCCATTGTGCTAGCTATAGTAAGCAATTATGAGATGGTAATCCCAGAAACAGTAGCAGTGGTGGCCGCCACTGCTATAACAGCAACAACGGCAGCAGCAATGTCAGATTCTCTTCTGGAGCGTGTGGGCATCCACTGGCATGGATACAACTCCAGGAACACGAACCGCCAAGGCCCACTTTTCTTGATCCTAGCACTACTTAAGCTGGTAGCTCTGCAAAAGAACAACTAAGAACCATAAAGAAAAAAACAGGCAGCTCACAAAGGAGCAGAATTAATGCTCTTATAATGGCTACATTTAGGCTCATAAATTTTAAGGTATCTTAAAAATGACTCAGGTTCAATTCCCAGCACCTACATGGCAGCTCACAACTGTCTGTAATTCCAGTTCCAGGGGATCTGACACCCTCACATAGAAATACATGCAGTCAGAACACCAGTGTTCATAAAATAAAAATAAATAAAAAAACCCAAAAAACTCCAAACTCCAAGCTGGTGAGGGTTGTGCTGTTTACATCAGATGGCCCCAGCCAATATAAATGTGCACTTTTTTTTTTTTGTTTTTTGGGTTTTTGTTTTGTTTGTTTGTTTTGTTTTTTGTTTGTTTGTTTTTCAAGACAGGGTTTCTCTGTGTGACTTTGCAGAGCCTGTCCTGGGACTCACTTTGTAGATGCAACTCACTTTGTAGACGAGGCTGGCCTTGAACTCACAGAGATCTGTCTGCCTCTGCCTCCCAAGTGTGCCACCACTGCCCTCCCCCACCGTACTTCTTGTTTGAGGCTTTAGATTCCATGATTAACCTTACAGCTCTGTGAGAAGATATGTCAGTCATATGCACCTCCTAGTTTATAAAGTGTTCTCCATGTTCCTTGTGTGTCTTTGTGTGTATGTGTTCAGATGTGCTTGAGTGTGTGCAGGTGTGCAGAGAGCCAGAGGTTGACATTGGGCATCTTCCTCAATCTCTCTCTACCTTATTTTTTTATATCTGTATAATTTTAAGATTCATTTTAATTTCACGTATACAAGTGTTTTGGTTCAATGTATGTGCATCATGGGCATGTCAGGTGCACATGGAAGCCAGAAGGGGTGTCATATCCACTCAAAGTGGAGTTAGTTACCAGTTCTTATGAGTTGCCATGTGAGTTCAGTGCCAGAAACCAAACCTGGGTCCTTTGCAAGAGTAGCAAATGCTCTTAACTGCTGAGCCATCTCTCCAGCCCTTACCCACTTTATTTTTTTGAGACATCTTCTCACACTGAGCTCAGAGTTCTCTGGTTTTGGCTAGGCTTTCTAGCCAGCAAGCCCCAAGGGTCCTCCTGTCTCTGCCCTTCCAACACTGGGCTTAAAGGCATGTATCGCATAGCACATGGCTTTTTATGTGGGTGCTGGGGATCTGAACTCTGTTTCTTTTTTTTTTTTTTTTTT